TACATATGTATGCTTATACTTTTCAGAGGTCCGATATTGATCTATGTACAATCCTTGTTTTATTGATTGCATGTAATATTCTAATTTCCTGAGATTGTGGATTTGGGGTTTTCATGAGCTGTAAGCCATAATCACCACAATTATGCCAAATCACAGTTTGAACTATCTTGCTTTGCATGTAATGAGTATCTCGTATATTAGTTTCACCTTTTAAGTTGCATTACTGAAATAAATGAACTTTTGCACGATATTCTAATTTTTCAAGTTTCACCTGTGTATATATATATATATATATATATCTTGTTAGTATGTATTAATGCATTCCGCTCTGTGTCTATGCATTTTGGATACTATTTACCTGAATGTGTCCAAACAAACGGGAGCAAGAATCTTAACAGATGAGCCAATGTCAGAGGTTCGGAAAAGAAGGCACACGTAGATGTAAAAAGTCATACGCTCATAAACTTGTTGAGGGGCATACAGCAGCCCTGTTGGTTCCTTAGGCTTGCTGGGGGGGAGAGGAGGTACAGTGGGGATCGAAAGTTTGGGCACCCCAGCTAAAAATTTGTATTAATGTGCATAAAGAAGCCAAGGAAAGATGGAAAAATCTCCAAAAGGCATCAAATTACAGATTAGACATTCTTATAATATGTCAACAAAAGTTAGATTTTATTTACATCATTTACACTTTCAAAATAACAGAAAACAAACAAATGGCGTCTGCAAAAGTTTGGGCACCCTGCAGAATTTTATAGCATGCACTGCCCCCTTTGCCAAGCTGAGACCTGCCAGTGTCATGGATTGTTCTCAATCATCGTCTGGGAAGACCAGGTTATGTCAATCTCAAAAGGTTTTAAATGCCCAGACTCATCTGACAATGCCCCAACTATCAGCACCATGGGTTCTTCTAAGCAGTTGTCTAGAAAACAAAAAAAAAACTGAAAATAGTTGACGCTCACAAAGCTGGAGAAGGCTATAAGAAGATAGCAAAGCGTTTTCAGATGTCAATATCCTCTGTTCGGAATGTAATTAAGAAATGGCAGTCATCAGGAACAGTGGAAGTTAAAGCAACATCTGGAAGACCAAGAAAAATATCAGACAGAACAGCTCGCAGGATTGTGAGAAAAACAATTCAAAACCCACGTTTGACTGCACGATCCCTCCAGAAAGATCTGGCAGACACTGGAGTTGTGGTACACTATTCCACTATAAAGAGATACTTGTACAAATATGGTCTTCATGGAAGAGTCATCAGAAGAAAACCTTTTCTACGTCCTCACCACAAAAATCATCGTTTGAAGCCTGATGCATTTTGGAAACAAGTTCTGTGGACCGATGAGGTTAAAATTGAACTTTTTGGCCGGAATGAGCAAAGGTACGTTTGGAGAAGAAGGGGCACAGAATTTAATGAAAAGAACCTCTGTCCAACTGTTAAGCATGGGGTTGGATCAATCATGCTTTGGGGTTGTGTTGCAGCCAGTGGCACAGGGAACATCTCACGAGTAGAAGGAAAAATGGATTCAATAAAATTTCAGCAAATTTTGGATGGTAACTTGATGCCATCTGTGAAAAAGCTGAAGTTACAGAGAGGATGGCTTCTACAAATGGATAATGATCCTAAACACACCTCGAAATCCACGGGGTATTACATCAAGAGGCGTAAACTGAAGGTTTTGCCATGGCCTTCACAATCTCCTGACCTCAACATAATTGAAAATCTATGGATAGACCTTAAAAGAGCAGTGCGTGACAGACAGCCCAGAAATCTCAAAGAACTGGAAGACTTTTGTAAGGAAGAATGGGCAAAGATACCTCAAACAAGAATTGAAAGACTCTTGGCTGGCTACAAAAAGCATTTACAAGCTGTGATACTTGCCAAAGGGGGCAGTACAAGATATTAACTCTGCAGGGTGCCCAAACTTTTGCAGACGCCATTTGTTTGTTTTCTGTTATTTTGAAAGTGTAAATGATGGAAATAAAATCTAACTTTTGTTGACATATTATAAGAATGTCTAATCTGTAATTTGATGCCTTTTGGAGATTTTTCCATCTTTCCTTGGCTTCTTTATGCACATTAATACAAATTTTTAGCTGGGGTGCCCAAACTTTCGATCCCCACTGTATGCTTATAGGGCATCTGCAATGTAAAATAATACCTAAAATTCTAGTTTCCATAGTCCTACAGACAAAGCTGATCACGGGATACGGTAAGCGGTCAATCACGGCGGCCTTTTACCACATGATCAGCTGTGTCCAATGACACAGCAGATCACCAGGTAAATACAGTTGCCGGTTATCGTCAGCACTTTCCTCGCGCTGTGACAGTGTGGGGAAAGTACTGCAGATAACCGGCAATTGTCAGAGAAGTGATCGGCACTAATCATCAGGGCACTGATGATCAGTGCCCAGCAGTGCCACCCACTTGTACCCATCAGTGCCGTCCATCTGTACCCATCAGTGCTACCCTCCTGTGCCCATCAGTACCACCCATCAGTGCTGCCCAGCAGTGCCGCCTATCTGTGCAGCATCATCAGTGCCAGCTCATCAGTGCTGCCTATCCGTGCCACCTCATCAGTTCCCATCAGTGCTGCCTATCAGTGCAGCCTCATCAACGAACATCAGTGAAGGAGAAAAATTACCTGTTTGAAAAATTGTATAATAGAAACAAAGAAAAACTTTTTTTTTTTCAAAAACATAAAAATGTCTTATGGGTACAGTGTCGCATGACCACGCAATTGTCATTCAAAATGCGACCGCGCTGAAAGCTGAAAATTGGCCTGAGTGCGAAGGGGGTATAAGCAGGGGCGTAATGGTGTGAACCTCCTGCGCTCAGACTAATATCAAACAATAATATTAATGGCGAGAAGCTGCCAACATAACATCATATATCCAATGATCATCAAAATAAAGTATAAAACAAAATGTGGCGCTAGTCACTTAATGTACAAATAAATCACTGTGCAGAAAAATCCCCTTATTCAAAAATAAATACACTTACTACTATAAGTACCTTCGTGCTTACACATACACAAAACAAAATTCCTATAGTGATAGTGAAAAAACAGTCTTATTGACTAAAAAAATGGTGCATAATCAAACAAAAAATATATAAGCACACAATGTGCACTAATATATGTATATATATATCTACACAAATCCCATAAAGTGAATACAAAACCTCGTGCAAAAAATGTGTCTTCTTATTAGTGACATAATATACACATAATACTCTATTTTCATGCGTTTTTAAAGTCCAAATTCCTAATAATCATACTTCAGTGAACAAAAACAACTCGTGCTGATATTCGTGTTCAAACGTGATTTGATGACTAAACAAACAATCCGATCACCGGCTGAATTAGCCTCTCACCTTCCAGACTCGACCCTTGCGAGTCACAGCGCTTAAATAGGATCCCTCTCACAGATCCTCCAAGTAATTGATACTTCACACGACAGCTCCCACTATATACAGATCTCCCTCTGGGGATCAGAACTCCAAAGATGGCTCCTTCTCCAGGCAGGCTCATATATTGTGCTAACCGCTCACATGTAACATAAAACACAAACTCCCATTGTGTAATATGTTTATTATCACACAAAAGGTATAATAAAATGCGCACTTACATCAAATTTCCGTAAATCAAGGCTCCCACCACATGCTTTTCGATGTCATCTGCATGGGTGTACAAATTATCAAAAGGTGTACCAAAATGGCCGCCACGCCGGAAGTACGTCACTGCGTCGGGTGTGTTTATATATTTTTTGTTTGATTATGCACCATTTTTTAGTCAATAAGACTGTTTTTTTTCACTATCACTATAGGAATTTTGTTTTGTGTATGTGTAAGCACGAAGGTACTTATAGTAGTAAGTGTATTTATTTTTGAATAAGGGGATTTTTCTGCACAGTGATTTTTTTGTACATTAAGTGACTAGCGCCACATTTTTGTTTTATACTTTATAAGCAGGGGCGTATTTGCCGTGGGGCAAACAAGGCATTTGCCTACGGTGGCACTTTTTAGGAGGGCGGCACTTTTCAGGGGGGCAGCACGGTGGCAGCGCCGCCCCCCCCTTTCCCACGGAAGGGACACTTCCATGGGAAAGGGACAGGAGCTGCTGCATCTTACCTGTGTATGTCCGGTGTCTTCATCTTCCTGGATCTTGATCGCAATGTGGGCGGGATGACAAGCTGCCCCTCGAATCTGGCCACAACCCTGGAATCACTGGGCAGCCTGCCCCTTCCTCTGCAAGCTCCGCCTCCTTGCCGGTGATTGGCCGCCAGATTTGTAGCTCAGAAAAGGCACACAGGCGGACAATCACAGGCGAGGAGGTGGAGCTTGGAGAGGAGGAGCTGAGCGGCAGCGCGAAGATTGAAGATCGAGTGAGGGAGCAGCTGGAGCTGGTGAAGAGGAGGAGAGCGGCTGGAGAAGGAGGACAGCTGATTGGTAAGAGTCTGTGCCTAAAGGAGGGAGCCCAGGCTGGAGCAGAGGTCAGCACAGTGTAATTGGTTTCAGTGGGAGTAATAGTGCCCCATCATTAGTGTCAGTGTGGGAGGAATAGTGCCCCCTCATTGATGTCACTGACACCAATGAGGGGGCACTTTTCCTCCCACTGACACCAATGATGGGGCATTATTCCTCCCACTGACACTAATGATGGGGCACTTCCTCCCACTGATACCAATGATGGGGCACTATTCCTCCCCCCGATACCAATAATGGGGCACAATTCCTCCCCCTGACACCAATGAAAGGGCACGATTCTTCCCACTGACTAATGATGGAGTACTATTCCTCCCACTGACACCAATGATGGGGCACTATTCCTCACACTGACACTCATTATGGGGCACTATTCCTCACACACTGACACTAATGATGGGGCACCATCATTGGTATCAGTGGGAGGAATAGTGCCCCATAATGAGTGTCAGTGTGAGGAATAGTGCCCCATCATTGGTGTCAGTGGGAGGAATAGTGGCCCATCATTGGTCCCGGACGGTGATTACTTGACGGTGCCTGGTGATTGCTGAGCATCATCGACGGGGAGGAGAACTGTTTGTAAACAAAAATGTTATCCTCCCTGTCAGCTCCTGCACACTGCTTTGGATGGCTGTGCAAAGCACAGCCATCCAAAGCAGTGTGCTTACAGTGAAGCACACAGACACAGCACATAGTAAAGCAGCACACAGTTAACCCTTTGATCACCCCTCATGTTAACTCCTTCCTGCCCAGTGCCATTAGTACTGGTGTCACTGGGGATGTCAGTGACACCAAATCAGTTCACCCCAGTGTCAGAATGCCTGCCGTAGTCTCGCTATAAGTCGCTGATCATCGCCATTACTAATAAAAATAAATGATAAAAAAAAATCCAAGTATATATACCGCCATTTGTAAACGCTATAACTTTCACATAAACCGATTAATTTACACGTATTGGGATTTTTTTTAGCGAAGACATGTAGCAGAATACATTTTGGCGTAAATTTATGAGGAAATTTGATTTTTTAAATTTTTTTTTTACTGGACATTTTTAATGGCAAAAAGTCAAAAATGTTGTCTTTTTCTCAAAATTGTCGGTCTTTTTTTATAGTACAAAAAATAAAAACTACACAAGCAATCAAATACCACTGAAAGAAAGCTCAATTAGTGGGAAAAAAGGACATAAATTCCATTTGGGTGCAGCGTTGCATGACCGCGCAATTGTCAAAGTAACGCAGCGCCGTAATGCAAAAAATGGCCTGGTCAGGAAGGGGGGGTAAATCCTCTGGAGGGCAAGTGGTTAATAGAATGGGAGATCAACGTCTGCAAAGCATTCAGGAGTTGATACTGCCACCTCCTAAGTTCCTGTTTTTCTTTTTTTGAGGCTCTAATGGGAATTCTCTAGGTAAATTCCATGCCGCAACCACGAGCTAAGCGTTTGACTCATGATCACAGCACATCCTTGAGTGGGACACATTTTGACTGTGGTACTGCCTATCGACCACAACATAGGATATCATTTTGCTGTGGCATTTGTAAGACCCCAAGCAGCTGCATGTAATCTTTTAGGTGGGAGGTTAAACTGCGGCTCAATTGCCTGTTTGTAGTGGCTGTCTCAAGTGAATTATTATTATTATATAGGATTTATATAGCGCCAACAGTTTGCTCAGCGCTTTACAATATAACGGGAGACAGTACAATTACAATACATTTCAGTACAGAAGGAATATGAGGGCCCTGCTCATGGAGCTTACAATCTAAAGGGAATGAGGCCTCTCTGTAATTGCTGGATCTTCTGTAGGGCTTATCAATAGATCTTGTACAGACATATACAGGCCATAGAAGGGTTGAACATTGGCCAATTTTTCGGAAAAAAAAAAAAAAAAAAAACGGTCGTAAGTTCGGCCGACGTTATCACCGATGCTTAAAAAAAAAAAAAAAAAAAAAAAAAAAAAATCGGCCGACTAAATCATAAAGTTCACCCCATAACTTCTGTCCCTTGCAGCTCATGCGGATTTTTTATCGGTAAAACGATCGGCTGATTTGCCCATCATTGCCAGGAAAATCTGCTGATCGTCAAAATCGGCCGCAAATTTTCCAACATGACCGATAAAAAAACGGTGCAAAAAACCCGAAAAATGGCTGACCAATCAACCCACTAACAGTGCGAAAGTCGGCCGATTTTCGAACCATCTATGGCTGGCATTACTGTATGTAGTTAATGGTGGAGTTATACGTGTATTTTGCTTGTTTATTCCAACTCAGTTTAATCATCAGACACACGATGCAGGTTTTATGTATTCCATATATTTATACACAGAACAACCGAGTTATAGTGACAATTAACATGAGAAAGTAGTTTTATCGAAGTTATTACCTATATTAAATCCATATTAAAATATTTATATATAGTGGGCAGCACAGTGGCTAAATGGTTAGCACTTCTGCCTGGCAGTACTAGGGTCGTTGGTTTGAATCCCAACCACAGCACCACCTCCCTAGAATTTGCATGTTCTCCCTGTGCCTGTGTGGGTTTCCTCTGGTTTCCCACACTCCAAAGACATGCTGGTAGGTTAATTGGCTCCTGTCTAAATTGGCTCTAGTATATGTATGAATGTGAGTTAGGGACCTTAGATTGTACACCCCTTGAGGGTTAGGGACTGATGTGAATGTACAATATATATATGTAAAGTGCTGTGTAAATTGACAGCGCTATATAAGTACCTGTAATAAATAAATATATACTTAACAAGCAAATAAAAGAAGTTTAAAACAAGCCATCACTGACTGTCATAGCTGCAGGAACTGTGAAGTTATTCAAATTTGTCAAAAATCACAACAGAGACCTTGAAGCTCTGTTTAAGGCAACCATCTCTGTTCTGTTCAGTAGCGGATCCTTAAACAGGTCTTCTGCTGAATCGGACAGTACAGATGTCACTTTTGTGACTTCCGTGTCCATTCAGTTTTGGCCTCCGGAGCGTAACAGACCCATGTTGGGTCTATGGGTGGGCAGATGTAAACGTACATGCATCCTGCTATCTCGGATATTTCACATTTACTGTATGTCCAAAAACATGGGACCTAGACAGACTCAGAGGTTGCCAAAAGTAAACAGATGCACATCCTAATTGAGATCCCCCTAAAAAAGCTGACAGGCAGATCTGATCAGACCGCCGTTGTGAAAGGGGTCTGAGTCAGTTTCTAACAAGATCCCACACTTTGTTCACCTTTCCCCATCTGCTGATCTGTGGTGTAATTGGCTACAGCACAAGTCTGTTAGCAGGTTACTGCCAATGATTTGGCTGTGTACCAGCTGATCGGCTGTGGCCAATCACAGAACAGAGTCCTGAGTTTACAAACGAAGGCCATAGACCGAGATCTGGTTGCTTCTTCGCCCTGAACTCAAAATCTGAGTTCAGGAAGAAAAAGTAGTTAGATCTGTTGATAAAAGCAGCACATATTACACTTGTTAGGCACACAGTTAACCCTTTGCTTGCCTCCTGATCATTCTGTCATTAGTACAGTGTACATTATTATCACTGTATTAGTGCCACTAGCGACGCCAGTGTCCCTCCCAGCCAGCATCAGTTAGCACCAGATTGCCAGCCACACTATAAGTTGCTGATCACCGTCATTATCTAGTATATCTTCTATAGCTGCATAAATTCCAGTATATACACCACAGTTTGTAGACACTATAACTTTCACACAAACCAATTAATATACACTTACTGGGATTTTTTTTTTTACCAAAGACATCTAGCAGAATACCTTTTGGCCTGCATTCATGAAGAATTTTTACTTTTTATTAAGTATGTCTTGGAAAGTAGAAAATATAGTTTTTTTTCCTCAAAATGTTTGGGGTCTTTTTTAGTTTATGTAATGAAACATCAAAAAACCCAGTGGTGATCAAATACCAGCAAAAGAAAGCTCTATTTTTGTGAAAAAATTATATAAATTAAATTTTCGTAGTGTTGCATGACCACGCAATTGCCAGTTAAAGTAGCACAGTACTGAATAGCAAAAAAAAGCCCCAAGGGACTTATGTAGTTCAGAAAGTTTACCTCAGGTCTGGAAGTAATTGTGGGGTAGTAGGCATTAATGTAGGGCTTGAAAAAAATTTTTTGAATCTAGGAGGCAGTTTTTTAAATCAGCTGCGTGGGCGAGCTGAAATGACACTCTTAAAGTGTAAGTTCACCTTTACAGAAAATCTGTAAAGTGACCTTACACTGGACCCCCCACCCAGTCCCTCTGTATCAGTGTTTTGCGATCCCCCGTTGTGAGGCACTGGGACGCCACTTTACAATTCCAGGGATTTGAAATCCCTGTGGCTTTCTCTCCTCTCCTCCCAGCACTGACAGGACCGGCTAGACGGATTTTGATTGGTCAGCGCCGTCCATGTGATGGTGCTGACCAAATAGAATGTCTCTTGTCTGTATGCTGAGTGGTACAGATAGGAGATTAAGCCACGGGGATTTCAAATCTCTGGATCAGTGAACCAGCGCCTGACAAAAGCCCAGACGCCAGGGCACAATTTCTAGTTGCCATGGCGACCTGGCACCTAGGATTTGCCGAGCCCTACTTTAATGACTACACAACTGTTGTTGCATTTATTGTTAAATCATAGAGAACAGACAGATATAAATGGCAAGCTACCTGCACAGAAGCATGTGGAAGTCCCCCAAAGGTCAGAAAGGGGTAAAAGTCACAGTGGCTAAATGGTTAGCACTTCCGTCTGGCAGTACTAGGGTCATTGGTTCAAATCCCAGCCATGGCACCTCCTGCCTGGAGTTTGCATGTTCTCCCTGTGCCTGTATGGGTTTCCTCCCACACTCTGACATGCTGGTAGGTTAATTGGATCCTGTCTAAATTGACCCTAGTATGTGTATGTAAGTTAGGGACTTTAGATTGTACACCCCTTGAGGGTTAGGGACTGATGTGAATGTACAATATATATGTAAAGTGCTGCGTACATTGACAGCACTATATAAGTACCTGAAATAATAAAGTATTACTGGGAATGTGTCTGTCATGTTTTCTGCATGCGACACAGATATTATGCAGAATCTCTTGTTTACATTAATATATTTATACATGGCACAGTCCCTCTAAATCACTTTTTAGAATGGTGAAATCAGTTGTAAAAGGTCAAACAAGTCTACCGCCACAAATTGTATCCTCCAGCAGAACCAGGCAAAGTTACAGATTTCCATGCTTTCGTTCTGGTAGAACTTGCACAAGAGCGATTTAGGATTGTCACGTGACTTGAAATTACTTATTAGATATTTGTTTGCCATAAAAAATAGAGACACAAAGCTGAAAATAGTAATTATGTAAGTTTGTTTTTTTTTTTGCATTACTTTGTACTGGTAAACCAAATCTTTATTAGTGACTATAAATTGTTACTCGAATATTTAGTTTTGCTATAAAAAATAATAAACAGACACAAAACTGAAAATGGTAATTATGTGAGTTTATTATTTTTTTTTTATTTTTTGCATTACTTTATGCTGGTAAACCAAATCTTTTGAGTGAATTAGTGACTATAAATTGTTACTTGAATATTTAGTTTTTCTATAAAAAATAATAAACAGACACAAAGCTGAAAATGGTAATTATGTGAGTTTATTGTTTTTTGTTTTTTTTTGCATTACTTTATGCTGGTAAACCAAATCTTTTGAGTGAATTAGTGACTATAAATTGTTACTTGAATATTTAGTTTTTCTATAAAAAATAATAAACAGACACAAAGCTGAAAATGGTAAATATGTAATTTTATTGGTTGCCTATTTGAAACATTACCTTCTTAGTGGTAAACCAAAAGCTTAAAGTAGCAGTCAAGTAACCGTGTTTCAAGACAACAGAGATACTCACAGGCCTTTGCTTACAAATGATAATCAGGTAATAACCAGAATCTGTTAATGATAACATTATCAGTATATTAGAAATTTTGATAGAATTTAGATCATGAAGTGACAGAAATGTAGACATTACATTATGATGTTAAAAAAAGAAGCAAAAAACCCCACAAAAAGTAGATATGTTTTCCCCAACTGCATACATTTTTTGCTTTATCCTCACTCCTATCAAATTATATCCAAAAAGTGGAACATTTCCATTTTTAGTTCTGAGATGAGATATTCCTATAGCACGGCTAATAAGTAATAGTTACATAGTGTAGCAAATCCAAAAGTGGGAATTTCCTTCCTTTAGCAAGAGGTCTAGCCACACTGAGACCCCAGGGGGAGCGGAGATATAAATGATTTTAAACACCATGTTTTCCAGGCCATATTAACATAGTTTGGTGTGCCCCTTCTTTTAACAAACCCTTTAACAATACCTTTGATAATGACAGCCCCAGTGAACTGCAAAAAAAAAAAAAAAACAGCTTACGTGGAATTGCCCTTAGCGGTATCCAAGCACAAGTTAAGTAAACACTTGTGTACAGAATATTGTATATGCAATAACTTCTGTGTATAACAGCAGAGGATTAAGAATATATAAAGATATGTTTTTCAGTCTTAGGCCCCATGTACACGGGACCCTTCTGAACGATGGAAACTGACTGCTGGAAAACGTAGGTTAAAAAAGGTCAGTTTTGCCGCGTTTGCATTCCAAAATGCCCAGAATGCACTGAAAAACAGTAAAAAATGAACGATTTCAGACATTTTGAGAGAAATTGAGAGAACAGAAGCAGAGAGAGCAGTATTTGTTCAGATTAGCTGTCTTTTTTTTTTTTTTGCGGTGTTTGGTTGTGTTCCAGCTCATTTCTGTGCAGAAATTATTGCAGCAATGTCTAACATATTTTCTTTCATGCAAAACCTCAAAGTATGGTGTATCAGGTCCATTTGAGTACCGGGAAAACGCTTTGCATGCAATTTTTATGATGAAAAAAGGCTCTGGACAGCATCTGGAAATGGAAGAGTTAAAAAACGCTTATAAAGGTGGTTAGCCGCATTTACAAGCATTTGAAACGCTGATAAAATCTACTCCTGAATGCAAGTTTGGTGCGTTCAAAAAAACAACTGTAAACTCAACTGCCTGTAAACAACTGTAAACAACATAGTGTACATGGGCACATAGGAAAACGGAGAGTTCAGGGGCTGCTGAAAAAAACACAGAAAAGCTCCTAAATGTCAGTTTATCAGCTGCAGTGTACATGGAGCCTTAACCAACAGCTTCCATGTTATAATGTTTAAAACTATACATTTATTGAGTTTATTTATGCCATGTATAGATTATTAAAACATCTGTATCATGTATAGCATACTCTACCGTCAAACCCTACAGTGTGCATATTGCAGGTAGAGATATAAAGCAATCTTCGTGGTGGGCTAGCAGATATGTCTGACTTGGGACTTTGAATACTATATAGTTTCATTACTTCTCAGCAATTAATATGAGAAGCTTTATGCAAAAAGAGATATCCTCAACCACAACACATAATAAAAAATCCTTATGGAAACATGCCATCAAGGCTAGCTCAGCACAGGATTATATATATATGTAGACTGTACAGTGTGTTTATATACTGTTAATTGTAGGTTATCATTGTTTTGTGTATTGTTTATGTGGGAAAAAAGGTAGCAGTATTATTGGACTGATATGTGCTAGAGCACCGCTGTACTGTATACAATGGAAGATATAGAATACTGCACTGTGAAAACTGGAACTGGTTCAGTGCTGTCTAAGCGTATCGAGAGTTCATTGCCTCTCTATGCTGATCCATGGGTTTATTTTGCTTTCACAGTTTGAATGGACATGAAACTAAAGGGCAGTATGGATGCTGATGTCAGCTGATAGAGATGCTGTAGGAAACACTTCAATGGGTTTCCAAGCAGTGAAAAATGAAAGCAACAAGGAAACTGTTCACCCTTTAGGACAACCCACATTTGATAGAGACCACTGGCTGCTATGTATTTTCACATAAGAATAGTGCTTTAAAGTGGCTGTAAACCTCTGAAATGAAAAGAGCATATCCCTCTATAGTGTGTACTTGTCTCAATCCACAGCACACCGTGTGATTTTTCCTCTTCTCTTTTCCCTCTGCTATCTGTATTAGCTTCTTCCAACAGGTCCTCCTGATACCACATTATCTCCATAGACAGCCCCGACCCCCCCTTTAGTAGGTGATACAGAAGGCGAATGACAGCCTCGGCTGTGCATGTTTCATTATGAGACTGTGTGTGTGGGGGAGGGGGGTATCCTTTCCCTCCACTTATGTTTCACATTACACTCATCTTTCCTCTCCATGCAGCATGTGAGGTCAGATCCCCCCTTGCCTTCTGGAGGTAAGAAATAGCCTTTGATGTGTGTGTTTTAGAAGGCTGTGGAGTAGATAGTGCGGCAGATAAACAGGTACAACATATGTAGGAGGATCTGTTTCATCTCTGTGTATCACCAGAGGCTTGTCACTTCAGTGGCTATGTGTAAGGGTTTACAAACTCGTTAAGAGAATGTACCACCAATGCACAGCAGCTTGATCTCCATATGGCCTAAATACAGTGATACACTAAATAAAAATTAAACAGCAAATGGACACACACATACTAAGCAAATGCTCAAACATGATTAAAAGATACTAATATGTTGCCCATACAAAGTCAAATTTGAATTCCATCAGATCAATAAACTGTGTTGCTACAG